TAATGTTTGAGGTAACAAATATCTGTTGATAGATGAACTACACAGTTCGACCTTTTCCTTTCTTTTTGTTAATTCTTTTTGTCACAACATAAGTTTGATGGTAAATGATGATGTTCCCTTTGTCTTTAAGTCATTAGTTATTCTTCTATGATCATTATACTGTATGAGTTCTTATTGCTTTCATGGTTGTTTGTCAAGATTGTTATTTTTGGAAATTTATTATTTCTCCTCTTGTTTTTCTCATTAGAACAACCTAGGATGATCTTCATGCTTGCAGGTTCATGTGCCACCATCATGCATGCTTGATGGTGTCCATTCACAACATTTTTTCGGGACTGGTGTCATTATATATCATTCTCGTAGTATGGGTTTGGTTGCTGTTGACAAGAATACAGTTGCAATTTCTGCATCGGATGTGATGCTGTCCTTCGCTGCTTATCCTATTGAAATTCCTGGAGAGGTATGCTATTTTATGAAACCACATTGAAAAACGATAGTGTTTTTTGTTGAGTTTCCTATTTTTTAACTGCAGGTTGTTTTTCTCCACCCTGTTCACAATTATGCTCTAGTTGCATATGACCCTTCGGCTTTAGGGCCTGTTGGTTTTTCTGTGGTTCGTGCTGCAGAACTACTTCCTGGTAGGTTCTACTTTTTTGCAATTACTCTACGGTTTAATCATTAGATGTATTAATTATTACTGCTTATATTTCTCCTATGCATCCATGTTTGCACTTTTTTTTGTTATAAATAGATGGTTCACCGTGTCCTGAAAATTTGGTTGGAATTGATGACAAAAGGATAAAAAAGTTATAGTGTTATGTTCTTAGAAGTCCATTTTGGTGAAAGGAAGTCTGTTCTCATATCTGCAGTGAAACAGGAGCTGGGGGTGGTAAATTTAATGTTGATTTCCTATTTTTGTGTTTTCTGTTATTTTTGTTGGTAAAACAGCACAAGAATACGTTCAACAAGTATTTACATTGTGTTCTATTTGAAACAGAGCCTGCATTACGTCGTGGGGATTCAGTCTATCTTGTGGGTTTAAGTAGAAGCTTACAAGCAACATCTAGGAAATCAGTTGTGACCAATCCATGTGCTGCTCTGAACATTGGCTCTGCTGACTGTCCACGGTACAGAGCAACAAATATGGAAGTAATTGAGCTTGATACTGGTATGTTTGTTGCTTTTACTTGAGGAGGAATCTAATTTTACCCATGTGCTGATCTCAATGTAGGAAATGCATCTTGTACTCTTTTGCAGATTTTGGTAGTACATTTTCGGGTGTGCTAACAGATGAGTTTGGAAGGGTTCAAGCAATCTGGGGAAGCTTTTCAACACAGGTTTCCACTCTGACCAAAAAATATAAAAAAGAAAGAAACCAAAGGTTTTGTCTTTTGGATAAACTCCATCATGCACATTTATTCTGATGCCTGCTATCGCTGATTTCAGCTGAAATTTGGTTGCAATACATCAGAAGATCATCAATTTGTGAGAGGCATCCCAGTTTATGCCATAAGCCAAGTTCTTGACAAGATCATATCTGGTGCTAGTGGACCGCCTCTTCTCATTAATGGTGTCAAAAGGCCGATGCCACTTGTTAGGATCTTAGAGGTTGAACTTTATCCTACTTTGCTTTCAAAGGCTAGAAGCTTTGGGTTGAGCGATGAATGGATCCAAGTATGTTTATTTGTTTCTTTATTCTATCTATTTTGTTTAGCAAATTTTTTTGAAACAAGATCTTCCCAATACTTTATCACATATGCTAGGGAGAATAGCCTTTTTGCAATCTTTTGTCAGTTCCATACTATCACATCACATTATCACATTAGTTGGTATTCTTTAGGCTTTGGTCAAGAAAGATCCAGTTCGACGTCAAGTTTTACGTGTTAAAGGTTGTTTGGCGGGATCAAAAGCTGAAAATTTATTAGAACAAGGTGACATGGTTTTAGCAGTAAATAAAGAGCCAGTTACTTGCTTTCGAGACATAGAAAATGTTTGTCAAGCATTGGACAGTGGTGACAATGGTGGGAACCTTAACATGACCATTTTTCGGCAGGTAAGCAAATAGATACAGGCAGAAGGATTATCTATTTCTTTTTCCGCTTTGTAATTATTACTATTATTAATTTGACTGAAACCATTGTCATAAGTTCTATGTTCTATCTAATGTCTTGTGTGTTGTACTTTAATTTTTATTAAGACTAATATGTAAATGAAGAAATAATTTTATGCAATTTTCTTTTTTATTGTCTTGTTTGCCAGGGATGTGAAATGGATCTTCTTGTGGGGACAGATGTTAGGGATGGGAATGGCACAGCACGAGTGATTAATTGGTGTGGGTGTATTGTTCAGGATCCTCATCCAGCTGTGCGTGCACTTGGATATCTTCCTGCAGAAGGGCATGGTGTTTATGTGGCACGGTAAGGGTTTTCTTCTCCTAGTAGAAAAGTTTTCACATTCATTTTAGTTGGAAATTAATGATGAGAATATAGCAGGTGGCAGTAAAGCGGTGGAACCATTTTTAGCCTCAATATATTTGAAGCCATTAGAACCCTGCTACAGTACTAACTGAATTCCTTAGCAAGCAAATTCATGAACATACCTGAAGATAGAAAAATGCTTGCAAGTTTGATTGCTCAGGGCTGCAATTTGCATCTGATTTTAAGAATATGATATCAAGCTAATTTAACTTGTTTGTTTTGAAGTTTTCTATAAACCATGGTTGTCATGTATTGATGGCCTTAGGATCTGGCATATATTAATAGATTGCTGTCTTTAACTCCCTAATTACGAGGGAGTGACAATAAGATACCTTTTAGAATTTGTTGAACCTCTTTTGGACTGATTCACAGAAGCATTTTGATGTTTAATGTAGCTGCATTTGACAAATAATTAGTAATATATTTATCGAAACTTAAAGAGTTCTTAGGATTTCAGTTAATACAGTGGCAGATTTTCTGATGCTTCTTATGACTCTATCATGCTCTAGCCCTTAATCCGATCAGAAATTCATCCTTTTAATTTCTGAGTGATTGGAATAATTACTAGTTACTCGATTTCATTAGATTATGCAAGAACAAATCTAAATCTCAGAACTTCTACAGTTTTCTAAAAGACTTTAATTCTAAATCCCTAACAACCTAATAAAAAATTTTCTTGTTAATAAGTGAATTTTTACTCATTGTGAAAAGAGAAAACCAACTATGGCTTCTGATTTTCCAATCTTCAAGCTTGCTCTTGCCAAATCTCCAACCCTATAAAAAAGAGATGGTTCATCTTTCCTTTTTTGCTTTTTACATTGGTTAAATTGGCTGCAAGGTTAACTAATTTGGGTTGAAGTCCCTTGTTATGAAATTATTTTAATAAATCTCCACACACTAGTTGTTAAGAATGAAGGAACCAAATGCTATGCTAAGGGGTTTTGTAATACTCTAGTCCAAGTGTTATTTGAGCTAGATTGCTGAGTATTACATTAGGAATCCAATTAATTCTTCTGGTGTTTTTGTATTGGAAAATATTGCTTTACTGCATAGTTAGTTGTAGATACACTCACTTACACACAAACACATATTGTTAGTAACTGACTTTATATCGAAGAAATATCTTTCAGTATTGTAAGGATGGCAATTTCTTTTTAACAGAGGTTACACTTGCAATATCCTATTTGTTGAGTGTTTCTTGTGACAATTTGTTCCTTTCCTAGGTGGTGTCAAGGCAGTCCTGTTCATAGATATGGGTTATATGCTCTACAATGGATTGTTGAAGTTAATGGAAAACCGACTCCTGATTTAGATGCTTTTGTTAATGTGACAAAGGTAAGCCTAGTTGCTTCTCATTTTCCTTATTGGTTGCTTTGTACATGAGAGTATATCTTGTTGTATGGTGAATTGTTGGAACTTCTAATCTTTCTTTTTGCTTCGTCAATTTTTAGATTTTTAATGTTTAGTGTTAATGTTGAGTCTATTTGGTTTTTGACTAAACAACAGTATATAGTCTCTTTTGTTCCATAAACTTCAATTGATTTCCTAAGATTTGAACTTAAGACCTGTATATGAACAGGAATTGGAACAAGGAGAGTTTGTTCGTGTGAGGACAGTTCATTTGAATGGCAAGCCTCGCGTTTTAACATTGAAGCAGGATTTGCACTATTGGTCTACATGGGAGCTGAGATTTGATCCAGAAACCGCAATCTGGCATCGAAGGATGATCAAGACGTTAGATTGTCGTAACTTATGAACCAGATTTTCTGGTCTTCTTTTTTAGGAACCAGCAGAACAAGAGAATTGGATAATTCCTTGATATTGCCCGTGGGCAAATGACAATTTGGGTAGAGGGTTGACGCTGGCACGACTTCTGGAATGGATTCGGTTATGTAGCGAATTGGTGCCAACTCGGGAGGTTTAAGTTTCAACATATGTTTTGGACAATCCGGTGAGGCCAAAGCATTTATTCAGCTGGGTCAACAAATTATATACTGTAGGAAAATATAATTATTTTCATCTACTTTCATATTGTGGTAAATCAATTATAGACATGGGTAAATGATTGCACGAAACAGAAGAATAAAATTTCTGTAGTTTACTCCAGTTGGGTTCCATAAATATGGCAGAGAAGTTAACAGCTTCTTTAATGATTTCTCAGCCACTTCTCTAAATCTATTCTGAAAAAAATTAGTACTTTTTTTTATGGTAATTTTCTGATACATGTCTGTTACTTATTATTACCCTAGCTTAGATGATCAATATTGGAACTAAAGAGCTGTTCAATTCCAGAGCATGGCAATTCATTCAAAAAACAAGTGAATTTAGTTTACCATATTATATAAATAATGATCTCGAGATAACATGGATTTGTTGGCCATGTGTGCTATTTGTTCTCCATTTTCATCTCATTTCTTCTTCTCTAAAAAATAGCCGGAAACTTGCAGCCATGGCCGATGTCAATATGGAACTCTACGAGGAGTAACCATCTAACCTGTTTATTCATGATCGATAACAAAAGTAAAACAATGAAAATTACTTTTGTATTACTTGCTCTTTGATCAACTGGCTTAGTTGAGTTTGATGATTGACTATTGAAAAAGGTAATTTCATTAATTATTGAAAAAATCCTAATGTTCAAGTGGGTTTGGGATTGTCCTGTTAAGGCTATAACCTACTAACGTAAGCCCAATCCAAGCCCAATCTTGAAAATTCCACACGTTGATCCGAAACCCGAACTCCAATCTGACCCGAGAGACTGCCACGTCACCCTCAACCTCCCTCCTTCCTCTACTACCTTCTTTGAAGAGGGTTCCGGAATTTACATTTTGCAGAGCAACTTCAAATTCAAAAAGGAAAGGAAAAAAAAAAAAAAAAGAAGAAAGGGGGACACGATGGATCCAGAGAAGGCATTGGAGTTAGTAAAGAGCGGAGCAACACTTCTCCTTCTTGACGTTCCTCAATACACTCTTATCGGTATCGACACTCAGGTACTTTACCAGCTGCCAATCTCTGTTTGTTTCTTGCGAAACTGGAAAGAGAATATCATATTATAATTAATCCGACTTCTGAAATTTTCGGTTGTTTGCAGGTGTTTTCGGTGGGTCCTGCTTTTAAAGGAATAAAAATGATTCCCCCGGGAGTTCATTTCGTCTTTTACAGCACTTCTACCAGGTTATAAAAAAGAAAACCTTTTTTCTTTCCCTAAATAAAAGTTACAAAATAATAAGCTGAAAGTTTAGTGCTTTGTTAACTGAATTTGTCGTTGATGTGATAAGTGATTATTCTTTTATTATTATACTTTGTCTAGTAAGTACTGAATTAAGCTTTAAAATGATATTGGTTTGATGTTGTCCTTCTACATGAATGAATGTTGGGCAACTCAAATTATCAACATGTATAAAAATGAGTGTGGCTGTGATGAAAATGTTATGCTGGATGTGTTGGCATTCGCGGAAAGATAAGATTTAGGAGTAAATGCGTGAGGGAAAAAGTGGGTGTTGCACTTCTTGTGTGCTTAACAAGTGGATCATGTTTATGGTGATTTTGATACGTAAAGAACAGGTCTACTAGGTACCTTTGAGTACATGAGTTAGTGGAGGATGCCCCTGCCAAGAGAAGGAGAATAGACGGAGCTTTAAAATATCATTTTTACCAAGTTTACAAGTAGAAACAATAGGCCGCAATTGTGCAATAAGATCTATATAGCCAATACCATGTAATAGAAAAGAAAAAGACTTAATGTTTCTTGTTGCTGCCTGGCAATGACTTGATAGGATCGTAACCCATCACCTAACATAGGATGCATCACTAGTTCAAATTAGCATAACATGTTACCACAAAAAAAAAAAAAAAAAACCGTATGTTTCACCATTCGCCTTAACACTTCATTTGTAGATCTAAATCATTGGCTTTTATTGGTTAACATGCAGATATGGCAAAGAGTTTTCACCAATTATTGGCTTCTTTATTGATGCTGGCCGCTCTCAGGTTTGAACTCCTTTAATCATATTTATGGAAAATTGTGATTGTGTAGTGGCATTATCATATTATACTGATGCTTCTAATATTTTAAATAGATTATAGAAAAGGAACTGGTGGGTGTATGGTGTTTTATTGCTATACAATAAAGTTTATCGAGGAAAACTTATATATATATATATTAAATATATAATGCTTTTCTGTCTATTGATATCTGATATTTATTGTATACTGCTGCATTATTATTATTATTATTTTTTTTAATGATGGTATTTATGGGCACTGATATTATCTAAATTACAGTAGTTGAGATGTTGGCATTGTTGTACAACATCTTTGCTGAGTAAATATGTGGACTGGTTAGAGTTTTAATTTAGCCATTTACTTGTTTCTCACTTATATATTGGAATCTGTCAAGAACATGTACTCAAGCAATTTGTCAAGAGCATGAACTCAAGCAAACACAAAATTCTTTGTTAATTCATCTCTGAATGGGAGCAAGACATAACTTGTATGAATATATCCTACCGTTTGCAGGTGGTTGTCCGTATGTGGGATAAAAAGGAGGAATGCTTACTTAAAGTATCAGAAGAAGAGGTTTGTATTCTTGTTAATTGTGTTTCTTATATTCATTTTGATGATGCATGCACATATCAATTTCATAGTAGACTGTTAACCTGCTATATTTGTTAACCTCAGAATGTAAAGCAGTCCTATTTCTTGAATAATGCTTTTATTAGGCATACGTCAGGGCATATGCATCTTAGGAACAAAACAAACTGACCTCTACTGTGCAGTCAAGTTTGCTCCCCAGTTCTCTTTGCCCTGTTCCAAGTTCCTCAACTGCTTTGGTCCAGCCTTGTACTCTGATGATTGAGCAAAAAAGTTGTCTGTTAATGCACACTTCAAGTGCATATGCACACTATCTGAGACATTCTGTTATTAATGGAGCTAGGAGTTTTGCTGGAACTTAAATAAAGAATCTGATCCTTTTTCTTAGTTGGTAGGTTCTTGTTGCTTATTGCTTAAGCTCTTCGTATTAGAGAAGTGGATTTGAGTTTTGTAAAATCGATATCAGCCATCCTGTGTTACTGTGCTGAGATATTTTTAGGTCAATGCATGTTTTGAGATCTCGAGGCAATGAATATTTATTGAGCACCATGAGGAATATATAGAATACAATGGCACAATATGATCCATATAGTTTGCCGCCACATAGTGGGCCTTGGCTTTGTTTGTAGTTGTTGTGATGGTGGTGATGGTGCTAGTCTCTTATCCATTACTATTTTAAATACTTGGTTTATGGTTTACTTAAATTTTTATTTGTTGGAACACTGCTCTGAGGAGAAAATGCTTATGATTTCTGAAGATTTCAATTGAGCTATTTTTTGCAAATATAAAGAGCTGCTTCTTTGTTTTTCCTTTTATAATGCATTTAATTAATTTGTCCTTTATTTCTGTTTTTAGGGAGAAAGATACAGTAAAGCTGTTAGAAGTTTGGAGTTTGACAAGAATCTTGGGCCCTATGATCTAAGCCAATATGTGGATTGGAAGAAATTGTCTAATTACATTACGAAAAGCACTATTGATCGATTAGGTTTGTTCTTTTTAGATACAGCCTTTGGTTCACCTCGTGTATGACACTGTTGTTAGGATCTTTCTACTTTTGCTTATGTATGGAAGCTCATGCTTTTAACTCCTCACCTGGGCTTGCTTAAGTTTCTGTTTTATCATTTTTCTTGTTTTTAGCATGGGAATATAGGGCGTGTAGTGAGATTAAATTTGGAAACATGTGAACTGGGTAGACAGCTCATTTACAACATAATTTTGTATGGTAATTTTTACTTCCTTTATTCTTTTTTTATCAGTGTGTAAAAAAGTTCTTAGAGTTCCATTAACATTTTTTAATAGAATGATCAAGCCCTTAACAATGGCTACTCAAAGGAAAATTTTTATGGCTTGTGAAATTTCTTGATTAGGCTTCTTTGAAATGGGATGCTTGACTTATAGCTGCCTAAGAGTTCAGTGTTTATCTGGGGTATGTCATGTGTGACATGTTGCATTGTTGATTTTTAGTGATACAAGGACTTTTGGTGGGTTTATATATATAATGTACTCTTTAATGATAGTCAGCCTAGCATGATCTAAAGTGATACATCCAATGTGCAGAACCCATTGGCGGAGAAATTACAGTCATATATGAATCTGGGATGGTGAAAAACACTTGTAAGAGCACCATGGAGAGAGCTGTAGATGAGCATTTGAGGAATAGTAAGTTCTCTACACCTGCTGAGAAACCTCCGAAAAGAGGATGTTACTATACGCCAATTCCCCGTGTCATAAAGCAAAAAGGAATTGAAAGTGAACAACTTACTTCTTTGAATCTTGACAAGGCAAGTATTGCTAAATATGGTGTTAAGTATAATTAAATTTGAAAAGTTTCTAAATGGCATTTTCTCATTTAGATGTAAATTTTTGCTTCTCTATGCAGACAGAACTGTTAGAAACCTTACTGGTGAAGGCTTATGGCAGCTCTGAAGAGTCACTTCTTGGGGAGCTGCAATTTGCATTTATAGCATTTTTGGTATGAACAGAATAACATGACATTTTCCCTTAAGATTGGATACTGTTTGAGTTTTACAGCATGTAATAATCCTGCAGATGGGGCAATCACTTGAAGCATTCATGCAGTGGAAATTGTTGGTCAGCCTTCTGTTTGGCTGTATTGAGGCTGTAAGTAGTTATTTATCTGCCAATTTTTGCTTAATTTGTGAACTATTGTATTAAAAAGTGTGGTTTTTACTGTTATATTAACATCCTAGTGGACCCGTTATAAATGATTGGCTTGTATTCTGTTGGTATGGCATTTCTATCACCTAAAAGAGGTAGGCGGAAAAAATGAAAAATGTTGTTAATTTCTTCTTTGTTTTTCTTTTCTCATTTCTTCTCTATATTACCACAACATCTCTATCCATCATAATATCATTACCCTTATTGATTATTGTTGATGATTTTCTTGTCTCTTTATTAGGCAGAAAGTATTTTGATGCTTCTTAGATGTGTTGGTATCACTCTTCTTGTCAAAGTTGTCAAAGCACTGTTTGCAAACCTAAAGGGTTGAATGCATTACAGAGTTCAAGCATAATAGTGGAAAAGAGTCTTAAAGTATGTTTGGATAATGTTTTAAGGCTCTTATCCTTGCTTATTCTGGTGTAATAGCAATTTATATCTTGCAATGGTTATAATTTCTTCAAGTTAACGTCTGCAAATGACCTGGCTTAGAAAAGGTGCCACTACACCTTCCACTTGTTACATTGGGGTGAATAAAATCTGAGATATTGTAGAGTACGAAGAATAAGCCACTTGAGGTCAATTACTCATGTAATGATATCTGAATATTAATGGGTAAGTTAATCGATCTTCTATCAACAATGGGGAGATATATTGATAAGAAGGAAACTCACTAGTGGGTCTTCTTAGTTAATCATCCTGATTGATTGAACTTTTAGCATTCTGAATAGGCAGCCAATGCTTGATGAGGATTGGAGTTAACCACACTCCCAAAATTTCTTGATCAGTCTGACACCCTCACATGAAGCTGCACAATTAAGGAAGCAAAAACTTGAACAGTAATTTATACTAATATGGATGCTTGATTTTGGAAAATTTGTTGGTAAGAGATCCTAGGTCTGCCCTCGGACATCCAAATAAATCCGTGCTAATTACTCAACATTCTGTTTCTGCTGCATAAATGTTTTATTGGCTCTATTTTTCAAAAGGCTTACATTTTTCTTCACGTATATTCAACTTTTTGCTTGTTTTCATTGCTAAATTACTTAATGTGAGTATGTAGCCTATGTATTCATTATTTTTTATTTGGCCTTGACTTTTTCGTTTTATATATTTTGCAGCCTTTTCATACCAGGAGTCAGCTGTTCACGAAGGTAATTTTTTGAATTGATAGTCTCTTTGTCTGGGGTCCTTTTCCTTGGGTAAATTTGTCATAACTAGTGTAATTATGCCCATTATGGTAATAACTTTATCAAAGAAAATTGGCTATCCCATGCAATTTTATGCATACAGAATTGGAGCGATCTTTCTCTCTTTAGTTTCTGTCTAATATCTATCAAAAACAGATTTTGCTTTTTGCCTGCTTCGATGTTTATAGTTTAATGTTAATATCTGACATGTGATAGGCTTGTGACAGTTCATTAAGGTCATCTATTATCAACTGAAATATGGACTTCAAAAAGATCACACGGTTGCAGAGGCAGGGGCATCGGCATTGTTAGATGACTCATGGTTTTCTTTTGATAGCTTTCTGCACCGCCTTTGCAAGGTAGTTACATGTTTTTTAGATGCATAATTGTGATGACTAATTATTAGCTTGATTATTTTGCCATGAGATAGTTGAAACCTGCATCATTTTGACAAGTTTTTGCATTTCTTTGGCAATAGGAGCACCTAACCTTTTTTTTCACCAAACTTGTTTACTCAAAGATTAAAGCAACCATTTGTTAGTAACATTAACCTTCTTGAAGATTGATTAGTAGATTGATGATGGAATTACAGGATTTCTTTTCATTGCTGCAAGATGCTTTAGTTGTTGATGGAGATCTTCTCTCATGGGTATGTGTACTAAGCTTGCCTCTTCTATGTAGTTTTATTGATTTTATATTGCCAAAACATGTTAAAACTAGGAAAGGTTCTTTCACTTCTTCCATTTCTTCCTCGTACCTTCTACCTCGTCTTTTTCTTTTCTTTTCTTTTTTTTGTCTTCTTAAAAAGAGTCAATGATGGCAAATTATCAAGGCTAGGCTTATTATACGTAGTCTATTTCTCTTCCATCTATAACTAATTATACCTAATTGTTATATAAAGACCGCCTGAAATTTTAGTTGTGTATGGAAGGCTTTAACATACTTCTGAAAACTTGAACATCCAAAATCTTTAGCTGTTGTGGCATCCATGATAATATAAAACTAACTACCAATAAACACAATCTGTAATACTAACTAGTGTCTATTGGCGTATGGGTAATTTCAGTTCCTTTTTACGCCCCTGCGTTTCTGTATTTGCATATAGCCATTGTAAATTATGTTGGTGGAAATCCTGACTTCAGTCTTTGAGCACTTTCAGACAAGGAAATTAAAAGAGGTGCTTGAAAACAGTTTAGGATGGGAGTTCCAGCGGAAAAGTGCAGTTGGTGGAATCTACTTTGAGGAGGATAATGAGGTCTGTGTAATATTTTATCTCCCTAAAATTCACTAAATTCTCTCTCTCTCTCTCTTACCATTCCTTAACTTCTGCAGTATGCTCCTGTGGTTGAAATGTTGGATGAGCCAAGCGGGAGTGAACCAGCAACAGCTTAGACAGTAGCATTGTGTCTTGTCTTTGTTAACATGTTAGATAAGGTATTGGATGACTTGACTGACCCGTGTCTGTAACAGTTTTTAGAATGAATTTCCTTTTCAAAATCACTTTCATCTTCACCAATCCTATAGGCAGTGTTTGTACTTCTCCGTCTCTTTCTGGATGCCTTCCTGAAATCCTCTTCTCTGCCAAAGACAAAGAGGTCAAAATCATCTGCCTCCCTCCATCTGCATTATGCATTTTGCTCAAGGAGGTGCAATCAAATGAAAGTTGCTACATCTAAATCCGTGATTTATAATTTATTTCAAGTAAATTAAACCACTAACTAGTTTTGTAGCTTATATATTGAGACCAACCAAAAGGCAAACATCATAATTGATGAAGTAACTCTAATCGATGTCAGACCGTTTTTTTTTTTTTTTTTTGGTCCAAGCAATAATAACAAACAGAATTGCTTCTAAATTTAGCCCCCAAAATGCTCAACAATCAAGTTCAAAGATTTTTTGATAATATCATTAATTGATCTAGTTAAAATAAAGCAACAGTCAAAACACACGAATTAAAAAGGTGGAAATGGTAAAAGTTTCCTTTACCTCGTTGTGTATGAATTGAATATTATATCAGCATCCATCAATTTGCCATTTCCATATCCTAATGACAAACATGCAATGTCTACGTCATAAGAAGGACAAGTTATTCCACAATTTCCAACTATTACTATTATTATCTTATAAAGGGTAAGTTCCAAACCATCAATTAAGATCTTCGGATAGTTCTTTTAAAAGTGCATCCGGTGCATTAGGCAACCCATTACTGGCTTGTTGGTATTATTATTTATTTTCATCAAATGGCTATCAGAAATGACAGATTATGACATGTTACCTGTAGGAAGAAGAAAATTGGAATCTAACCTTTGAAATTTTGCGCCAAACTAGACAACAAAATGAGCTGTGGTAGTTGTCAAGCACGTCGGCCAGCAAAGATGCCAAAAGTAATTTAAAGTTTTTGATCCATGCAGAGGAGAAAGTGGGAACACAACCTGGGGCCATCCTTTGACGCTTGACCAGAATCCTGCATTAAAAATAATAAATAAGAACAAAGAATTAATAAGTCACATTGGAAATAATAAAAGAGAATTGCTTCTTCTGGACGTTATGAGTAGCCCGAAATATTTTGATATTCGGTCGGATCCCTGTATGTTGCAAATTAAGGAATATTTTATTTGATTGGACATTGATGAAGGCTTTGGAAATTTTCCTTATCTATAATTTGGGTAAATTTATTTTCTCTAAATTTCAATATAGTTATTTAATTATCTCCTCATTTCAATTCATACATGCAATTAATGTAAAATCAAAATTTCCCTTTTTTTTATTCCAATTGCATCATACCATAAATTTTTCTTGCAATAACTCGTGCTTTGACTTGGTCATTGTGACATTTCTATAAGAATTAAAGTTCAAAATTCAAATTCCTCCTTTTTAGGCTTCCTCGTCGCTACAATAAATATTTCTTGCCAAAGATACAACTTTATTTTAAAAAATTGGAAAATAAAACAAAATTTATATATAAATCTATAATTCGGAATGTACATTTGCAGTCCCCCCCCCCCCCCCCAATCATAAATCAACAAAAAAAAAAAACAAAAGATGAGTAAAATAGTGAATGAGAAAGGGAAAAAAAAATTGGAACATTGATTACAAGACTTCCCGCTTTTTACCAGAACTTGAGTAACGTGAAGCTAGGAAGTATGGGCTTTTCCACTTCCCTAATACAAGAGAATCTAAAGAAAATAGTCAAAAAGGAAGTAATTTCTCTTTTTAACAAAAGCAAGTTGAATCAAAGCCACATTAATTAGTTTTCACATGAGAGAGATGCTGTCACTGAATCCGCCCTGAACATCTCTGATAATGCATTGTGGTGTCCTGATGAGATAGGAGTGATATCAGAAGTGTTAGTCATGCTGCTGGAGGTGATGCTGAAACTGCTAGGTACTGGCATAGAAGGCCAAACAAAAGCAGGCTTGAAGGCTGGAACACGGGGCACATCCATGGACCCTGATATAATCTGAAGGATTGCCTGTGTTTTAGGCCTTTCACTAGCAATAGGATGTGAACATGCTAGACCAAGTAACAACAATCTCTCAGCTTCTTCAACTACATACACGTTACCTAACCTTTCATCCACTGCCTCGAGTATCCTCCTTTCTCCATGTAGCCACCAAACCCAATCTACCAACAGCTGGAATTCACCTATTTTAGTCCATGGACGTTGCCCACAAACCACTTCTAGCAACACTGCCCCAAAGCCATAAATATCAGACTCCCTGGTGGCCTTGGCAGTGTGGAAACACTCCGGTGCAATGTACCCCATGGTGCCAGGCACCCCCTCCATCTCTGCATAGGAAGTCTTCTCGTTTTCCAAGGCTCGAGCCAATCCGAAATCACCTAACCGGGCATTAAAGTTGGAGTCCAGCATGATGTTGCTAGCTTTAAGGTCCCGGTGCACCACTTTTTGGTCATATTCATTGTGAAGATAGTGTAAAGCTGATGCTACACCTGATATGATTTTGTACCTCAAATTCCAATTCAGTGTTGTCTTCTCCGACACACAAAATATATGAGTATCTAAGCTCCCATTTGGCATATAATCGTATACTAAAAGCAGCATACCATTCTTGTGACACCATCCTGGTGAATTTAAAATTGCAAGAACAAGTGATGAAGCAGCTATAACAAACTTTATATACTGAATGAAGAAAACTGCTCTGCTATGAATAAAATATGCCTTTGGATACTTAGAACAGCAGCAACCTAACTCTTGCACGTTGGGATGTGAAATTTCATTGGACAAAAGACCAATTAAAAGAAATATAAAACAGACTGACATTTCCAATGTTTGTAAAGGAGTTGTTTGTGAGTTATAACCCAAAACAGACCCTGAGTTATCATAGCTAATCTTTTATTTCTCTTACTAGCCCCCAACATATGCTTCATGCATCAAGTGATGCAAACATTTTAGTATTCTACTCAAATGGGTAATTTAAAATTGGAATATGAAATTCAATTATAATTTTATTATAGTTAATAAACAAATATAATAAACTTCACAATTTTGTTCAGATATGATCGATTTTCATTTTATTTAGATACCTATCTCTCCTTCCTATCGTTGTTCAATATGACAGACTCAGCAAAATTAGGAACATGGTGTATTTTCATGAAAGAGACCGAGGAAGATTTTACAAACGTACACCTTAAACTCAAATCTGCTAGTAAACTTTTTTTTTTTATGCTAAGTTTTATTTTATGGCCTAATTTATGTGATTAAGAAAGAAAGAGAATTTGGGAAATATTAGCAGATAAATGTCAATGTCTAAATCTTAATAGAGAGTAGAGTTTGGAAGAGTAGTTACCTAGCAAGGGAACAAGATGCTTGTGGCGCAACCGGTTGATGATAGTAAGCTCAGCCAAGAAATCGTCTTTACCCTTAATGTCCCCGGAAAACTTCTTGACTGCAATTTCCAGATTCTCCTTCTGCAGCAGCCCTCTATAGACCACCCCAAATCCGCCCTGACCTAGCTTGTGCTTATCATTAAAATTGTTGGTAGCCTTTTTCAGTTCTCTAAACCGAAACTCCCTGGGAGTTCCTGGAAGACTCTTGAGTGCTCCCAATATATTAGGGTCAGATCTAGCCCTCCATTTCTTGTACCAATAATAAGTCAACCCTCCGATTCCAAGCAGGAAAAGTACCACTACTGGAACTCCAATCGCCAATCCAATCTTGAACCATTTTTTTCCTTTGTTCTTATCAGGAAGCACTTCTATAGTCAAGTTCCATTTGAGCACACAGTTAAGCTGAACATGGCTGCCTGTTGATGCTGAAAAACCCAAATAAGAGTTTTGTTTGACAATGCTGCTGAGATCAAGATCAGAACTCAAGACTGGCTTGGAGGGTTTGGAAGGTGTTGGGGAAGACACCTGCTCCTGCTCTGCCATGTAAACTTGTATCGACTTTTTTTTACCATCATATTGGATCCACACGACGTAAAACTTAGTACTACTTGGAGCAATTTGGATGCCAAATTCGGAAAAAGACACAGTCTTGCTGGATCTAACACTGTTGATGTTTAGACCAATATGGTTGTCATCTGGATCAAAATCCTGTTTAAAAGTGTCGAGTTCGATGGCCACAAGGTTGTTTGAAGAAAGGCCATCGATGGATGAGTTTGTCAATCCTAGGTATCCGCCAGAACTACCAGGAGGAAGGATGAGGTCAGGAGCAATCAGGAAAGCAACACCTTCTCCAGGAACAGAGTTATTAACTCGAAAAACATTGATAAGAAAAGAGGTATTAAATGAAGCCACCCAGGAATCTCCATCCCAGAGCTTGAAATTTTGATTGAAGAAGATTCTGCCAGACCTGTTGCTGAGACTGAAATTACCAACGGAATCAGGGGTGACTTGAAGGGCATCATTGCTGATTGTAGCTGGCTTTATAACTGCAAAACTGCTGTAGTAGGAACTGTCAAATGGCCCAAAGTGGTAGTTTAAGATTTCCAGCATCTGTTTTTCTGCCATCGCCAACATTAAATGAAAAATCATTACCCCAATAAGCCATACCACTTGAACCCTCATTTTCGAAACTAAAGCTGCTGAAGCCGTACCGTCAAACGCAATACAACGAAGAAGGAAGATGCTGCAAACATCAAACATAAATCTTTTGACAGTGCTGTTTCGGGTCTCTCCCTTTTATTATTATTTTTATATTAAATGCACCATCCAAGAAAAAGAGGTGAATTTGACAGGGTTTTGATCTTATCTGTTGCAACTTTCCATTGAAATATTGTGATTGGAATTATTTAATTATTATACCTAGCGTTGCTCCTCACAATTCGTCACTTTATGTCTTATAATTTCAATGCTTCGCTTTTTTAGAAAAACTTTGTATTTCCCTACTTTATTCATGTTACCTCCAGCTGAGAATTATTACATACTTGAATATTTAAAGAAAAAATAAAATAAGTAACAAACTTATTACGTGCTAAGGCTTCATAATAAGGGTTGAGAATTATTACATACTTAGAATCATTTCCTAATTGTGAAAATTGTAAGGAAGAAAATGTTCAACAGGTTTTATACATGCTGACAGACAATATGCTCGGACTAGAATTTTGAGTTCTAACAACTTACTAATAATTGCGTTAGGCTTAGGCAGAAGGAAAAGTCCATCCACTTGTGGGCTTTTTAGCACAATCATGGCTACCATCTAAGCTGTAGACATCTTTTAATCGATCTTAACGGATAGTTAAATAATATATAATCTTTACAGATAATTAATCAAATTCTTAAAGAGCATTGGCGGTGGCTTAGACAAAAAGCAGAGCGTGCCTGCAGTGTGCACCCAAAAAATAAAAAACATATGATTGTTACCAACATTTGTTTAATAAAGTATGCAAAATTCTTGCAATTATTTTATATGTTTATATGTTTATCTTAATAATTCTTGCAAGAATTTTGTGTACTTTTATAAACAAATGCTATTAATCATGTGTTTATATATATATGTATATATATATATATATATGTAACAGCCACCTTTGCAGATTTGTGGCATAGGCCAGCAAAGAATGACTCTCAGTTGACCACACCGACCAGCCTAGTAATCCCTCACCATTCAAAATCAAACAATATTTGAAGGGCAAAAATTACAAGAGACGAGAACGCAGCCTGTCATTAAGCCAACATGTGAGCCCACGAAATGGGCCTCGTGTTTCGTATTTGTTAGAACCTTTGTTTGTCAACGGAATCACACTCCTTTCATATTTTGATTAGTTTTTAAGGCCCAATTTTTTTTCCCTTCTTTTCTTTATGTAAATTGTACATATGCTTAGTGGAAATTAAGTACATTAGTAGAATCGGATATGACTGTGCAGTTCCTTAAGATTTGAAGCTGAAAAAGGAATCTTGCTTGCTAAAATTGAAAATTTCCAGAACAAGTGGTGGTAACAATTAATCTCAAAATTTCTCGCAAGAATTTCACACTAGCTAATACCAAATTTCTTGTTGTCCTCATCTCTAAAGCCATCAGGATTTTATCACATGCACACTTTCTGCAAGAAGAAAGCACAGACCCTTTGTTGTTTGTGCACAAATTTCAGTTTAACGTTTGAATTTTCTGAAGTTTAAAATTTTAAAGTAAAAAAGATACTAAAAGAGCAGTATACATGTCAGCAGTGCATCCATCAATCCAGCTAGCATGACTAGAGAGAGAGAGAGAGAGAGGAAAAAAATGTTCACAAAGTTTTTTGTTTCTTGAGTCTGATTTGCAGGTGTTGCATGAATGCATCGCACTATTTCCAAGTAGAACCACCTAGCCTAATCACCTCTTCACCACTGTTGTCCCTCTTAGGTCCCCATTCCAAGCCATCTCCTTTTTTATCACTTAAATCACCGTACAAATCCTTCAGCTTCGCCAAATTGCTGGATGTAGACGTCTTCTCCTTAGTTCCCTCTTTTTGTGGACTTAAATGACGATCTAAATGACTGTTGCCCGCTTGCAGACTACGACTTCTGCTCCTACTGGGACTTCGGCTTCTGCTCCTATAAGAATGCCTATTGTCATCACGGACCTCTTCAAAGTCCCTTCTATCCATGTACCTTGACCTTCGATCATAATCATGCCTTCGCTCCCTATCCCTCTCCTTGTCCCTGTTTCTTTCTCTATCACGATCACGATCCCTGTTTCTATCTCGACTATCACGGTCCCGATCCCGATCCCGACTCCTATCATGAGCTCGGTCACGGTCCCTGCCCCTCTCCCTTTCCCTTTCTCTTTCTCTTTCTCTTTCTCTTTCTCTCTCTCTTTCTCTTTCTCTTTCTCTTTCTCTTTCTCTTTCCTTGTCAGAATATTCTCTATCAGAATATTCACGGTTCTGGCTGTGATGGCGGCTGGGAGATCTTCTTACATCATCACCACTGGATCTGTCATATGGTAGTGGTGGTAGGGTGCGACGCACAGGAGAAGAATCCCTAGTTGATGCACGATGGGGGGCACGCTGACCAAAGGAGACAGAAAGTGCAGCCTTCACAGAAGGCGGGCGGCGAGCAGTGTCATCAGATCCATGACGATTAGTATCCCCAGTTGCACCAGAAGGTTTAGTAGGCAGCTTCATCTTCTCAAGATTGGATACAACCTGCCGCAATACAGGAACAGGGATTCGGGGGAAAAGAGTATCAAAGTAGTACTGCAACAAGAAAATCAAGAGTATCAACTTTTTTCCCTCTATGAAAGCAAACAAAAAGAAAAAACGTGACAGGGTCAAATGTTGTTCATTTTTAACATAAATATCAAGCCAAATGGCCTAAAGGAAGTCAGACAAATAAACTGGCATTCAACTCAACCAAAGAAAACAAATCCTAAGAATCCTGGGAGCTTACAAAAGTAGACTTAAATAGTTAAGATCTAAATGGTGACTTTCTGTTAAGTATCAGACCCTATACAGAAGGAAGTTCTAGGCTGTGCTTCATGCTCCAATCCAAGCATTCGGCCTGCATTACTGCTGCAAACCAATGAAATGAATTGAAAATAAAAAGTAAAAGAAAAACTCCACAAAAAAGAATAAATTGGAGGGACCGAGAAATAGTACCTTCTTTGAACATACAACTGCAGCTAGTACAAAAATCTAATTGTCCAGAAATTCTTTGCCAATTCAGAATGCAAATAGTTTAAAGGTCATCTTGCATTTAAGTTCTACATTTCAGGATCACGCAGCATGCACTACTTAAGACTAATTATGTTCTGCACTAAGAATTTCTTAAAATATCACCCAAATTTCTTCTACAACCGTGAAATAGACTTCAAATGATTTTTGCAGGAATCACAGTAGATTTAACACAGAATGTGACTTTGAACACAGTAGATTCAAATATTCGCATGTAATCGTAGCTTTAGTAATAAGTTGACCAACTCTATTCATTTCACAAACAAAATTCCATTTGGGACATTGACAGAAGCTGTTCAGGCAAACTTCAATGTACTCGTCCACATCAGATAAGGATTCCCTCATATGTGCATCATCTTAAGTAGGTATATTTCAAAAATCTAAAATCATGAAAGAAAACACTTTTTTAAAATTTTTAATAGCTGCAGGTAGAAGTATAAAATTAAATGACATCTCTGGTTGATTTATTATGGAGGATCACAAACATTTGGTGTAGCAACCGTCCTTACCACCAGATAGATTATCATAAATAAAATGCCGATTTTAATAAGACAACCTAGGATCTGACACTTACTTTTTTGCACATTATGCTTACAAAATTCAAATTGATCAAAATATCATTAAATGGTCACTAAAAGGTGGAGCAAGTTGACTTGCAAACAGAAGGGAAAACATTTTTTGTATCGTAAAGAATGTTGAATATTCACTCCCACTAACCTGTCCAAGAAGTAAATCACGCACGTATACACCCATTGTGGTCATTCGTCCATTAGATCCAGGGGGGAATTCCTGAAACAAGAAACGATGATTTCAACTTTTGCCCAAAACAGAAACCAAGTTCCACATGCTAAAACCAACAAAAAAAAGGGGGGGGAATAAAATGAATAAAATGAATTGTTATTCCTAATATATTTATATAGTTTTTTTAATCATCAATTTATTATCACTAAAAAAACCAGTCAACGAAAAAGAAATATATATATTCTAGCCTGAGTGCTTGCAGAGTAATGATGACAGAAGTTATGCCACAAGAAATCATGATAAATTAGAGAAGGCTTTGTTTCAATCTATCCATCCAAACCCAAGCTTAACTGGATTAACTAGTCAGCCTATTCTTCACTTAATTCATGCAGGAACATAAGCATGAATGTCGAGGTAACAATCATCCCTGAGACAGATATTTACCTACATTTAAACATGAAATGGCTCATTAAACAAACCACAAGCCATGATAGCACTAGAACCAAAGGATAAAGGACTAATTCAGCCATACATTCCAACCATTTTACTACAACCATAGCATCCGAAATTCTGGTGCAGAAATGGACCTAAAGAAATTTATAGAGTAACTTAACATCAAATATCAAACATTACTAATAGCCAGATATAATACAAAGTAAAAAACCTAATGCCGTGTTTACATTACTAATAGCCAGATATAATGCAAAGTAAAAAACCCAATGCTGTGTTTTGGAACATAAATTTGAGAAGGTCAATTGGGAATTGGATTCAAACATTAACTTAGGCAAAATGGATTCTGGGCCTGAAGATCAACTCATTTTTCAAACCCAAGTTTGAATAACAGAAAACAACTCTTATCTACTAGTCATATAAAAACTGCCAATACTTCTCTTCCTCCTTACAACCACAGCAGCACACCATAAGTAATGGAATCCCTCCATTCTCCCTCAACCCCTTTTTTTCTCACTTGCACTCTCCAACATCTTTTCATTCTCACATCAAGCGCAATGGCTCAAAAATAAAACCTATCATCCTACCTCCAACCTTCATCTATTTCCTTATCTCTGCTTTTCAATCACCTTCTTCTGCAGAAGCTGAGTCCAAACGTTCAGGAAAGTGTCAAACGTTTATCTCAAACCGAGACTCCTGTCGACATAGGTTTGGCACCCTATATTGCAAAGTCCATGTAACAAAGCCAAAGAAAAATAGCAGAAGACTAATGTCTGAGGCAAAAAGTGAACTTTGTTAAACAAAATGTAACACTAGATGATATCAGTATAAACAAACCAAAATATATGGAACTTTATTGGAAGATAAGGCTTTTGTAATTCTTATTTTAAAGACACCATACACATTATGAGGCAGAAGTAAGCATCATTAAATGGCCAGATTCAACATCTTGTGAGGCAAGAAGAAATTTCTTAACCAATAGAAAAATAAAAATATCCACAATATATTGACCCACAATCTCACATACCAAACTAATGTAAACGATGTAGTACGTAAACAGATTTTACCATGTTACTAATTCAAGATACCACAAAACATTTAAGCGGTCAAAACTCCTAGTACCTCCTCATCTTTGATGTATGGTTCAAACCAAGTCCATAAAGTCTTTGGATCTGCAGCATATCTCAAGTAGAGGAATCCAATCTGCAACCAAAATTTTAAGCCATCAACTATATGCTTAATAGCTCAAAGCAGCATATCAACCATACACGGATATAAATTGTAAAAAGACCAGAAAATAGGAATAATGAAACTGTAAAAAGATGCAAGTAAAAGTTAAATTTTCATGCTTAATTTCAAGAAACTAGATAGCAAGGAATCTGAATTAGTATAGTTAGGCAATTCTTAAACTGTGGGAATAGTCCACACAATATAAGTAAATTAGTAGAGTTAGAACAAGAACTACTGGTTCATTATTTCACAGAACCTTGACTGAGAATATCTTAGAAACCAATAAAAAGAAGCACAAAAACTAACCAAACCAAGATAAACGATGACAATATACTGGAGTGAAGGGTGAAAAAAGCATCATAAAAGAAAAAAATGAAAACTCAATCTTGGTTTATAGTTTCTAAAAGGCAAAATATGAAGTTAGAACACGCAAGAGAATTTGCAAACCTACACAACGTCTAACCTTGGCTGTAGCAATATGGAAATTGGATCTGGTTCCTATGTTCATATAACCACTACTAAATCCATAGCTATAATACATAAAAATAATAAGCAAAGTGAATGAATTGTGAGAACTGAGTCAACAGACATGTTGATCTATCATTACATAAAACCCATGACTGAGAAAATCTCAGTAACAATAAAAGAGACTCATCAAACCTTGATATTGTAGATAGCAAGGTACGAAAATAGAGGGGTTGGTCAAACTCTCAGTAACTCAAAGAAACAAGGACACCTCAACCTTTACTTGTAGAAATCTGCTATGTAAAACAATAAAATTATAACATTTATATATTTACTTTTACACTAATACAACGAAAATAAGGCAAGCTTGGTCAGGCACACCACTCTAATAAACAAGCTGTTTTAACTTCTGAAGTTCAAAAATACAAACAACAATGATAATAACACAATACAATAGTCATGTTTAAATCCTAATCAAGTTGCAATGGCAACTTCACTTTCACAGAAGTACTAAAGAAATATAACATCGATAATAAATGTTAGTTTCTATTAACAAAAGTAGGAAAGTTCCAGCCACACTACACATCAAAGATCAAAATACATGAAGAAATACAAAATAATGGTGAAACGACTATCTCTCCTTTCTGCCAACAATTTCTACCATGGTTGAAGGATAAATTTTAGATAAATGGGAAAGGTTCCACTTACTGCTCTAATATAAGGAGAATCGGGGTGCTTCAATAGCCCATGCATTTGTTTGACAGTAAGTTTCATGGTAAAAAACTTGTAAAGAAGGCAGAATGCAGTAGAAGGACCACGACAGTTCCCAGTCATCCACGGCTCAACATGATCAACTTGATTGTAAATTTCATCAATGACTTCGTGATATGTCTTTAATCGGTAAAGCTCTTTGAAATAATCAGAGGATAGTATATTCATACAAAGCACCTTCTCTAACAATGAATCAATCGGTTTACCACATGTCTGTATCTCCATGACGATAACTGCACTGTCAACACAAGAATACCCCAAACAAAGTGTCATAAGTCATAACCTTATTCCACTCAAAATAACATCATGTGATTTTTGAGAAAGATACTTAAAAAAAAAATCAGAATCAGAACCAGAAAACCGCATGCCGTTTCTAATAAAAATAAAAAGAAAAACCTCGCAATTATTCCAGATACAAGAACCTACCTAATTAAATTAAACGAAAAAGAAAGCTTGAATCAAAACCCTAAAAGGTTGAATCGAAGAAACAAATCCTTTGAAATTTTTTATTTTTAGGTAACAAAAAGGATATCCTAGATCAGAATCGATGAATTAATTAGTCAAATTAATAAGGAAACTAAAGAGAAGCAGTTGATAGATTCAACAGAAAGATCAGAAAAAAAAAATAAAAGAAAAAAATACCGAAACTTCGAAAAGAAAAGGTGAAATTTTGAGAAACGCACCACTAAAAATCGAGAGAGTGCTGATAAAATGGGAATGAAAGCAAGTGAATGGTATAGAAGAGGACAAATAAAATAAACCCTAACTCGAAGAGAGGCTATCTGAATGCCTGCCTATCTCTTTTAGTTAATCGACCTTTGGGGTTGTATAAATTATTAGTTGTGTGACCGGTCGGACCGGGTGACGCGTTCACAACATTGCCCAGAGCCGACTCGTCCATTTAAAATAAATATTAAAATATTGTTAATAAGTTGACCAATTGGTAATTGTCGTTGTATTTGAAACTTCAGAGTCGCTGTTCTATTTCACTTAACGGATAATCTCTTCTTAAATTGTAATTAAATATAATAAAATATTTAATATAATATTTAAATTTTAAAATTTTTTAATATTTTATTTAAATTATAAATCAATAATTAATATAAAAATTAATTTATAAAAAAAATGTTTGAGATCTTTTATTAAAAATCTTGCCATATAGGATGGAATGCAAAATGTTTGTTTTTTTTAATCAATGAGAAATGTATGAATGCTATTATTCAAAGAGTTCGAACCACCATTTTCAAAATTTAAAAAAAAAAATGTTAATGGGTTCAAGAACTTGGAGCCTTGGAAACAATAATTAACCTAAGACTAATTTCATAGATAGATTTCATTATCCTCAAGTAAAGACGACTTTGCTTATACATTAAAAGAATAAATAAAACATTTTTTTTTGTTCGAAAACAAAGAAGATATTTACTTATCTCTAATTTCTTATAAATAATTCAATTCAAGGGAAGTAAGGTGGCAATGAGAGCCTATTTCTTCCCTATCATCAGCCTCACAGCTATCACAGTGAGAGCCAATTGGAGCCAAGTGTGTTCCATAACTTAAAAATGAAAAGCTGGACTACATTTCAAATCTAAAGTTTCAGATTAATTCATGTAGGATAATATGCTTCCAAGGGAAGCAATTCACGTCAAATTAAAATTCCATGAATTCTTAGGGATCATGTCAACAGTACCACCACATCCTAAATCAGAAATCTACTTCACTAGATCACTATCAACCAGATAATTGAGCACTGCAAACTTCAATCATTAGGGAGAATGGAAATTAACTTTAACAAAGGAACTGTAGATAATAACATTCAACTGTCCAAGCAACAATCAACGATATGACAGCTGACAACCGGGATCAAAACCTGAATATTAGACACTCAAACACAAGATAACACGCTGAGAAAAAACTAAAGCAAACTTCAAAATCAAAGCAGACTCTATGAGCACTCTTTATTCTTGGTAGCAGAAAACACCTTCAAATGCAAAAACACAACCTTTAGCAGCGACCATCTGCAAGACAGAGGCATCATGTCATTCCTCTTCAGATTCGGATTCTGCACTCTGGAGCCAATCAATAAAAGGCTTAGTATTCTTCCATATCTGGGAGTCTTTGTTCTCCCCCTTCAGACCTTCTTGATACCATTGCAGTATGTACTCCTCCTTCAACACATCAGCATCATAGAGTGCTTTCAAAACTAAAGCAACTTCCTTCAACGAACTTGAGCTGGCCTTTCCACAAAATGACCCAATAGCTTTAAGCAGAAGCAGCTGTGATTCCTCATCTTGAGCAACAGCAGCAGCAAAGTAGTTTTTCTTCTTAGCCACCTCCTTCGCAAACCCTTTCTTGATGCCATCAAAGAGTGCCTCTAACAGCGCAATCATCTTTTCCTGGCCAGAACCAGAAAGAGATCCCAAAAGGGACTTCAATTGATTAGCAGAAACACCTTTCTTCAAATTTTCTTTCAACTCCTCAACAATGGTCTCATGAAGGTCTGAGTAGCCATTCTCGGCCTTGTGATCATCTTGCCTTGGTGAAGACATAACGTTTGAATTGTTGCTTGCCTTACTAGTCATCTTTGTTTTCTTTTCTGATTCATTTGTAGATAATATGACCATATCTGCTGTAACTGCACTCAGTTGCTCTTGGATTCGCTGCTGAGCTGCCTCTAGTGATGTATCTGTTTGCCACTGCACATCATCATCATCATCATCATCCTCATCAACCTCTTCCTTTTCATCAACTTGACTGTGAGGTGGTGAAACGTGATCATCATCAGAGCCACCAGCTTTCTTCATAGTTGAGCTGACTTTACTGCTGCCTTCCTTAGACGAGGAGCCTTTCTTCTTTCCCTCTTTCTTAAGTTTTTTCTGCTCTTCATCTGCAGCCTCACCTTCCTTAAGTCGTTCCTTTTCAGCCCTCCTTAGTGCCTTCTTGTCTTTTGATCCTTTCTTCACTTCAGGTGGGTTTTTCAAGATGAAAGTTGTCAGCTTATCTCTCATATCAACATCTGAAACAAAACCACATGCAGCACAGCTCAATTGGATCATCTGATTCTTAGTTATCAATATCTCAGTTTCAGGGTTTCCACAGCCATAACACTGCACATATTTCTTGATGAAATTCTCAAGAAGTCCAGCAAGCTTAGCAGTATCATGGGATCCATTAACAAGAGAAATCCCAGTTTTTCCATCAAATTTAGACTGAGCACCAAGCTCACAGCCAAAATACTTGGTTGTATAAGAGGCTGGCCTTGCCAATGCCTTTGCAATATCAACCATGTTGACTATGTTTGTTTTGATGCCATTTCCTCGGCCCTCAATCTTGGTGATCATTTTGGGCATCTTATACCTGTAGAAGGCATCATCGCTATTTCCAGCACCAATATTCTGCAAAGCCATTTTCAACAACAATTCAAAACAAAATAGCTGAAAGCCACAGGCAACAAATACTAGAAATCAGAGTGTATGCAGCAGTAAAATCTTCTAAAGTTTCGTAAGGTATGAGAGAAGACTGATCTTCTGCAATCACAAAAGGTTGCAACCAGCTGCAACCATGAAAATCTGGTTGTTCTTGAATTGATCCAAGACGCATACAGCCAAATTTATGTGACAAAGGTCTGATCTTTTTTCTAACTGAAGGACAATGCTCTCCAAGCAAACCAATTGATCCCAAATAGGGAATGGCCTGTATGGACATAAAAGAAACTTCGAACTTTTACACACTGCACCTTGAAACTCTGCTGTTAGCAGCAGCACCTGCAAGCTTGTCAACAAAATACATGTCCATAAGGAAACACAAGATAGATATACATAGAATTGGTAACAAAATTTCATGTCCACAACTCATAAGCAAACCCCAAACATGCCCACAAGAAACTTACAAGGAGATCATGTAAAGAATACATAATTCATTCCAACACTTATATAAAGCATTCTATTGACCAGCTGGAGTTTCAGAAACTAATATGTTAACCAATAATATGTTTGTCTTCAATATATTAGAAGCACAAATTCACATCGTTACACTAAAAAAGCATACCAACAATAACATTTATTATTTTTTGGCCAAAAAGAACATTTATTTAAAAATTCAAAGTAAAATAAAGCTCATAACAATACTAATTTTACATCATGCATTAAAAAGAGTACATTTACGAAAAAAAAAAAAAAAACCGAAAGTTCACAATTTTTTAAAATTTTCACTAATACTAAATACTATGCCATTATGTTGTTTTTAGATCTAACTTATTTTCTAAATTTTCAAATGAATTAGCTATTTATTCAATTTAAATTTATTTTTCTCTTATTATTTTTTTAACCTTAAAGATTACAACTTTTTTTTCATTTAAAAATATAATCAGCTTTGTAATCTAAATAACACATATAACCGACATGGAAAATAAATCAAATACAAAATAAATATATCTCAAAAAAGAAAAATCAAGACAACCAAAAAATAATCAAAGATTCAATTTTTCTTTCATATCCAATTCATCCATTGATTCCTTCAATAAATACCGATTAAACAAACAAAGATCCCGCACCGATCATTACATAAAAAAATAGAAATATAAACGGAAACGATCATCGAATTAAAAATAAATCGAAAGTTTTAGATTATTTACCTGAAATATCTTTCGTTATGGGAGATATACACTAGGGGGTATGGTTTCAAGGGATTTGCGCGTGTGGGATGTTTTGATTTGGGGTTGAGATGGTTTATATAGGGATTGCAGTTGAGGTCAAGAATTTTGGTTGCGGAATGCAGGGACCACATTAGGCTCCATGATTTTGCATGCTGTTTTTTTATTTTTTGACGCTAATTTAAATAAAATAAAATAAAAGGTAAAAAAATACTAAATATTAAATTCCTTTATTTCCTTTTTTATAAACTTCTTCTTTTTTAGGAGATAATAACAAACCCAAAAGAAAATGAAGAATGGAGAAAATTAATATTAAGAGAAGGAAAATAAAAAGGAATTTGATTTATTTTGGTTGAATGTGTGGCCAAAAGTAAATTGTAGTAATATAACAGTGAACAAGAAAAGAAAAAAAATTAAAAGTGGGTTTTTTTTTTTTTTGTAACATCAAAAGAGTGGGTTTTTCAAGTCGAAGAAAATTTCAATTGATTTGATTTTTTATTATAATTTACAACACTCATTCAATTAATAATTTATGTGTATACCAAACTAAGAAAATTAAAAAATCACATGAAATTAAAGAAATTTCAATTACTTTTCTTATTTACCAATTTAGAAAAAGTTTCACCTCATATCTATGTAAGTAATACAAATTAAAAGAACCAAAAAATAAATACAAATTAAATGGTAAAAAGAGATTTTGAAATCTTGAGGTCTCATGTTCATATATTAGCATGTGTAATTTTATCCAATTTTGCATAGAATTTATCTTATTAGTTTTAGTTTATTAATTGATTTAGGTATTTTGTTAAATTTTATATGAAATGTGATATTTAATATAGTGTGTTTATAAATTCTACTTGTAAATATAAAAATCATATTTCTGATATTTATTTATATATATATATATATATGAAAATCTTATTATTTTTATTTCATAAAAATTCTTGTTTGCCTTTTATAACCATCATATAGCTAAAATTAAAAAAAAAAGAGCCTTTAATATAATATATAACTCGAGATTTTGATTTGTTTGATTAAATTAGAAAAGTGACATATCTATATATTTATTTAATTTGTCTGATTAAATTAGGAAATCAACATTTAATTAGAGTTTTTTTATGGGCCAGCAAAATGGTACACAATTGCAATCTCACCGCCCGTAGTGTCTGTCTTTCGTGGACAAAAAGATAAAAGAAGAACAAATCACAAGTGTAGCCCATTAATTAATTCATGATAAATTAATACGACCCAAGCTTAAATTTAGTTCCGTCGAAATGCAACAGTGGCAACGCGTGATCTCATGTATAGATCCACCACATTAACATGTAGGATAAGTCCGAACGTATCTGAGTGTTTCTTGGTACGTATTGGCCCTTGGGGCATTGCAATAAATATATATATATATATTTCTTTGATTGAATTTTCGTCCTCTAATTACACCAATTAATTCATGCATCTTTTTTGTAAACTATATTATTAATGCAAAATATATTTAATCACCTACAATTAAGCAGCATTACATAAGAAGAAAAACATCTTTCTTTTGACACAACTTACAGGCATGCATGCTCTCAAATTGAGCTATACTCAAGATTGACTTGAAGATTGTTTAAACTTAAAACTCTGTTAGATCAGTACAGTCAAGCTCAAAAGCTCGAATTATAAGATGACATTCAAGTCGTCCAGCAATTGAAATCTTGGCTTGAGCAACTATATTTTAATTGTACAATTATTCATTCAATTTATGAGATTCTATCGGCATATATGGACAGCAACTTCTTAGATAAAGGCAGCAGCTTTGTTTGTAAGGATGAAATTTGCCATTTATTTTGTACACGGATAAAATAATATTGAAAATCGTTTATTTTACTAATATTAAAAAATTATTTTGTACACGGTTAATGACATTTTTAGTCAAGAGTTTCTTTGTCATTTATATAAGATAATAATTTTTAAAAATGTGTTTAACATATAACTAATTAAATTTTTTATTTGCAAATTAAGGAGGATTCGAAATTTATTTTTTGAGCAAAAGATCAATCATGCATCTATCAATTCAACCAAATAATTGGGTGTCAATGATATGAAAGTATTTTTATGTCACTGATTAAAAAACTAATTTTATATAATAATGTAATGTCCAAATAAACAAATAAAAGTAAATTAAGAATAAAGGGAATTGAATGAGGAAGTTGCTTGAAAATGAGGCAGCAACAAGCCCGTACGTGGTGCAGCTACTTACTGGGCATATGAATATGATGAGCTGCATGCCTGCGATTGAATATTAATCTGAACGTGAACAATGGACAACCGACACCGCCACCGGCATCCTTTATTAGACACAGATGACACCCACAGGCCAGGTGACTATGATCATCATGCCAAGTCATTGACTATTCATTGTAAGTCAAACTAAGCTTCACATGCTTTTCCATTGCTTGAACGAGTAAATTAGATACATGATCTCGATATAGTATTTGAATTCAAGTCAATTATTAATTCAAACTTATATATAAAAAATAAACCATATTTTTAAAAGAAAAAAAAATTGTTCATTCTTTAGGGAGTATTGATTGATTGAGTTACCAAGAAGTTCATTTCAAGTCTATAGTCTCGAATTAAATGATGATGCAACTTCACCAGTTTGTAATTAACTCACAAGTGAAAAAATGAAATATTATTATAACTTAATTTTTTGAAACTTTCGGGGATAGATCAGATTGGAAAACGAGCATCTAGAAGTGCTCATTCATCCAATAGATTTGGACCTAAATATTATTACGACTTAATTTTGTATTTTGAAGGATAACTTTTACTCCTGATGATACCATCATTTGATAGTTTTGTATTAATGAAATTATTATACTTCAAAATAAATAAATAAAAAAGGCTTGTCATAAGTACGATCGTCTCAAGAAATCTGAAAACTTCCAACAGGTAACCTGGGCACCACGCGCAATTAACCAATAGGATTTTAGTGCGCATAAAAGAAAACCATAGAATAATTCCTACATCTTGGAAAAAAGCATGGAATAATTCCAACAGCTTAGAATTTGTAGCTTCCATTCCATAACACCCTCGCTTTCCTTGACGCGGTACTCAGCTAATCAAATTTGTCAACCCTTTCCCCTCACACCAACAACTGCCTCTCCCCGTCCCCTCAAGAATCTTCCAATCCCATTTCTGCTTTAATTATGACCTTTTCCATTTCCCCCTTTTATAAATGTATCACCTACTCTCAACAATTTCCATCTCCATCACCTTCCAAAGTAGACAAAGTCCTTTCCTCAAATCCCAAGACGTTCTCTTTAAATCTTATCTTCTTTCCTTCCAACCCTTCATAAAAAATTCCATTTTTTTCTCTATCCAATTTGCAAAATCTCCCCCTCTCCTTCCTTTTCTCTTGAAAATCCTATCATAAAATCGGGACGATACAAGACAAAGAAGAATAGCCTTTAGAATCAATATGGGGAACTATGTTTCTTGCACTTTATCAACCCCGTTAGGCAAATCAACAAAAGTGGTTCTCCCAAGCGGGGAAATCATACAATTCAATGAACCCATCAAAGCCGCTGAGCTCATGCTTGAAACACCAAACTTCTTCCTCGTAAATTCTCAATCCCTCAAGCTCGGCTGTAGGTTTTCTCCTCTCAATGCAGACGAAGACTTAGAGTTGGCCAACGTCTACGTCATGTTTCCAATGAAGAGAGTGCACTCTACGGTGACAGCAGGTGACATGGAAGTTTTGTTTCTTGCTGCAAATTCGGCTGCCAAAAAGGGTTTTGATGGAAAGATAAGTATCTTGCCAGAAGCAGCTGAAGAGGTTAATTTACAGGATGTTTCAATGGGAAATGAGGAGAAAAAAGCAATGCCGAAGCTTAACTTGGATGATATTGAAGAGTTTTCAACTCTAGAGTTCATGCATAGATTATCCATGTCAAGGTCTAAAAAACCATTGCTTGAAACCATAGCCGAAGAGCCTGTTTGTGCCAGATGATGTGGTTCCAATGAACAGAGAAAACTATAGAGAAATGATATAGAGATATTGGTGGAGAAGACTTGCTGTGAAGTTTCAATTTGTGTTATTATTTGCAAGTTGCAAGCTTTGTAGGGGAATTGTTTTGGGATCTGAACAGAAAATCGAAGATTTGATGTACAGATTTTAAAGAAAATATGTTTTGGAATGTGAAATAGCATAGGGAAAAAAGGGTCAGGTTGAATATATATATATACATATATATATATATATATATAAGTTTCAAATTCCTTTTGAGTTTTGAATTTGATTATAATCATATCTCTTGTATGTGGAAGTCATGTGCTGACTGCTGAGCGGTGAGCATGCAGCATATGAGAAGTTAGGAAATTATATGTAGGAAAAAGATTTATGTAATGCATTGTATGTAGGAAAAATATTTGTAAAAGTTGGATATGATTTTTCTTAAATTATTTTGATTTGATTTGTATGTTGTCCTACAATTATTTTAATCCAATTCTACCTTTATTATCCTTTAATTTAAAGATTCAAATTTTAATTTTAACATTTGAGAATTATAAATAATGTACCAGAAGGGCAGCACTATAGTCGACATCCATTATATAATAATAAAAAGATTTTTATTTAGAGTTGCATGAGATCATTAGAAATCTTAAAATTTAGAAGAGATTTTCATAAGACTTTGATTTTTGAAATAAAAAGTTATTTTTACTTTTAGTTTATACCATATAGTGACAATAAAAAAAGGCTTATGTCTTATACTTCACTCAACAATTTAAAATAAATATAAAAAACTTTTGGTATTTTCTATTTCATAGCTTCTTAAGAAAGCTAAAATAAAAACTAGAGAAAAGAAAGAAGAAAGAAAGAAAAAAAAAGGCACAACATTTGTTGCATATGTTCCCCCATAAATTATAGAAAAAAAAAAGTCTTTAAGTAAAAAAGAAGGTAAAGGTGTGGAGATCTATTTTATTTTACATTTAAACAAGGTGAAGGGAGAAAGAAAATTCTACAATTGATGAGTATGTAAACTTTCAAATTTTAATTTTAAATTGAGAATTAATTTTTATATTAATAATTACTTGAATAATAAGTTAAAATATTACATTTTTGTGTTATTATTATTATTATTATTATTATTATTATTATTTAATAGATGATATCATATTTCGAGTGTTTGTTAAACTATTAGATGAATTGAATGTATGTGAATATAGTAATTTACTTACTTTGCAATTTAATTATAATTAAATTGTTCGATTAATAAAATTATTAAATTTAATAATTGAGTAATTTTTTTTAAAGAATGATAGATGGTTTGACAATTTCTAATGATTTTTAATAAAAAAACATTATATTAATTTTTTATATAAAAAATTATAAATAATAAAATCTCAAATCTCTTAAATATCAAATTTTAAAAATAATTTCACTAATCAATTCAACTAAGTTCGAATTTTATTATATTAATTTATTACCTTTGCTTTTTAAAATTTTCTAATCAAATGTAATTATATTTTAACTCTTTTAATTTTTTTCCCCAAATCGCCTTTCTTTCGTTTCCCTCCCTTCTTTTGCTTCTGCTTCCAAACTCCCTCGATTCCAATTTTAATTAAAATTTTCTTTCAAATTCCAAATCCTAAAAATCTAAAAATCCCATTCAAAGAAAAACAAAATGCCAAACTTTCCTTTTCCTTCTTTTCGTTGTTTATTTTTTGTTTTTTAAATCTTCTGTTTCTTTTGGCCCCCTTCTGCTTTTTTTTTTTTTTTTCTAGGGTTTTTATTGGGAGTTTGATGAAGGTTCGAGAAGCTAGGGTTTGGATTAATCGGCAAGATAATACTGTAATTTTTGGTTGATTCGAGACAATGAGTGCCGTCAACATTACAAACGTTACCGTTCTGGATAATCCGGCATCATTCTTGACTCCTTTTCAGTTCGAGATTTCCTACGAGTGTTTGACTCCTCTTAAAGACGGTACTTTTTCTAAGTTTTTTTTTTCTTGGTTTCAAATGCTTTTAGTGTTTTAATTTTTTATTCTTTTAATGAATTTTTAAGTTAGGGTTTGGATTATGGTTAAGGTTGTGGATTTTATCTTTGTTCCTTTTTCTGTTTGTTTAATGAGAAAATGGTGGGAAAAGAAAAGGATTTAGCATGCTTTAATGAGGTTATTTAGTTAGTTGGTGGTGTAACTCAGGGTTAGGGTTAGAAGTGGAAGATTACTTGCAGGTTTTGATGCAGGTTTTGGTTTGACGAGCGTAGAAAGCGTGTTTTCAAGAATGAAACTTAGAAGAGGGAATTTGTTGTAATTTCTATTCTGGAGAAAATTAAGCTTTGTGTGAGATGGCAAATATATATATCATTCCTGCTTTTGAACAAGAAAAGAAAGAAGAAACTTGTTTTAAGTTGTAAAGGAAATTTCTTTTTACTCAGTTAAGTTTCCTTTTGGGTTTGCTTAATTTCATCGGCAAGTTAATGGTTACTGTCTTTGATTTCCAATGGATTGCCATATGGATATTTTCAGACAACTTAAGCAAGAACCTAGGGAATGGACTAGAGTTATGGTTTAAGTAGAATGGATTGCTCATAGTCATCATGTACGAAAGCATTCTGAAGTTTCTAGAATAAAAAAATGTGGGTATGTATGGTTATGCCAATTGTATGGGTAGAAGAGCTGCCTTTTGGCTCATTGACCTGCTTTTGTATGTTTTAGCTGGGAAGACTTTAGTGCATGTTACTCGGACTTGGAGTTGAGTTCCAGACATGGATATGTGTCTAACATGGTTGCTGTCCATTTTTCTCAAGTCTTTTGTTACATTTGGAAGGTTAGAATTCCATACACATCCACATTGGGGGTTGGAATGTGTCTGAATGGGTGCTTCAGGAAAATGAGGATTCACAAAACATAGATTTAGGTGAATCATTTCGGGCTTCTACTCTTTATTTATGGTTTCTGAGATCTATTTATTAGCTCCTACAATTCATATTATGTCAGTGCAGCAAGATGGTTGGCCTTATTGCCAATGAGTGGTAAGAGATGCATAGATGCATATGTAATTCTTGCCGACTCTGAATGGAACAGAGTTATCTTTGATTTGGAAATTGAATCAATTTAAAAGTTCCTGGATATGTTTTGGCAGAAAATTATGAGGTGCATCAATACTTTAGCATGTTAGATTAACTTTCATTCTGAGTTTTTATGTGGGGGTTTTCTGACACTTCACTGTTACATAGATTAGCTACTAACATTTGCTGTCTTGTATATGCTTGTACTCATTATCTAAATGTAGACCCACATTGTCAATCTTGATTCCCTGCTAAAAAATAGGAGTATTGCAATTTTATCTGCAGTAGATCACTCATTTGGTTTCTCATGTCCTTGGTTTTAGTTCAGAATAAAGCTTAAAGCTTCTTTAAATTAGCACTTCTTAGCATGGACCTATATTTTATTTTTGTTAGGCATGAATACCTATTTTGTTATGATAAGTTTTTGTTAATTTCTCATCTATTTTCGAGATTAAAATATATTCATGTTTTAATGGAACTGCAGATTTAGAATGGAAACTTATCTATGTGGGATCTGCGGAAGATGAGACTTATGATCAACTACTGGAGAGTGTACTTGTTGGACCTGTTAATATTGGAAATTACCGTTTTGTATTACAGGCAATCTCTTCCGACTCCTAGTTTTAGTTGTTTACGATTTATGTATTTAATGTGTCTGTTTTTACTTCTTACTTCTGTCCTTGAATATGTTGTAGGCAGATCCACCAGACCCATCAAGGATACGTGAAGAAGACATTATAGGTGTAACAGTTCTTCTCTTGACATGTTCATATCTTAGCCAAGAATTTGTGCGAGTGGGCTACTATGTTAACAATGATTATGATGATGAGCAGCTTAGAGAGGAACCTCCCCCAAAGGTCTTGATTGAGAAAGTCCAAAGAAATATTCTAACTGATAAACCCAGGGTGACAAAGTTCCCCATAAATTTCCACCCTGAGAATGGTGGAAACGAAGAACCCCCTTCAGCTGATCACCCTGTTGAGAGGGAGGGAAATGAGGAACTCGCTGCTTCACCAAATCAAAAAGAGGAGCAGGAACCTTAAAATTTCAACTTGTAGGCATTGCCGGTATTCAAGATACATATCCCGGTAACTATTTTGGTGATTGAACTCCAAATCTGAACCACAGCTTGACAATTGGATGAAGATGGTTAATGAAGTAACGGTTCAGAAATGCTGGGCTGTTTTTGGTTGTTAGAGTAACTGTTTAACTCGGATGATTGCCTCCGGCACTTAGCAGTGGATTTCCAAGTTTGTAGCATGCTTCTGTCAGTTTTACCATCTCAAACATTCCCTTTTCTCACTTGCTCTTACTAGCATTGTGATTTTGTTTACATTGACTGTTGTGAATTAAAATAAAATTTATGTGATATTAATAAATTAAATTAAAATTTATTATATAGCATACTTAATATGCGAGAAAAATAAAATAAAATAAAATATTTTTTTTATTTTTGTTTATTTAAAATTTTTTTAAAAGATTCAACTGATTATAATTTGATTGATTAGATTTTAATAGGAAATTTTATTTTATTTATTTAAAAATTTAATTACATTAAATAAGATATTTAAGTTTTAATTGATTATAATAAAAGATTAAAATTTTAAATGAACATTACATTATAATTTAAAATATTTTTAAACCTCTGAAAAATGGGGCAAGTTAACCATCACATCGGCAAAAACATTTAATTGCCCTGACAATAAATTCTTTTTTTTTTGTTCACAGATCTAATATATCTTTCCCAATTACATTGAAGTTTGTGGCACTGATTTAATTGTTAAAATTTGTCATAATCTAAATCTATTGAAGACTTAAAAAAAAAATAATAATAATAAACGGACAGAAAATCCACCACGGAATGTAATTTCCGTGATCCCACGTGATGAACGCCAATAAGGGGCCTTAAATAAGGGGTTTGTCCAAAGAAAGAACAAGAAAAAAGAAGAAAATGGAAGAGGCATTGCTAGGTGGAAAAGAGGAAGAAAAATGGAAGTTAACATGGAATGGGTTTGGAGAGGAGCTGAAGAAGGTGAGCTACATGGCGTTGCGGATGGTGGCTGTATCTGTGTCGCGGTACCTTTCCCAATTACATTGAAGTTTGTGGCACTGATTTAATTGTTAAAATTTGTCATAAACTAAATTTATTGGAGACTTTGAAAAAAAAAATATAAATGGAAAGAAAATCCGCCACGGATTGTAATTTCCGTGGTCCCACGTGATAAACGCCAATAAGGGGCCTTAAATAAGGGGGCTGTCCAAAGAAAGAACGAGAAAGAGGAAGAAAATGGAAGAGGCATTGCTAGGTGGAAAAGAGGAAGAAAAATGGAAGTTAACATGGAATGGGTTTGGAGAGGAGCTGAAGAAGGTGAGCTACATGGCGTTGCCAATGGTGGCTGTGTCTGTGTCACAGTACCTTTTGCAGGTCATATCGGTGATGATGGTTGGTCACCTTGGCGAGCTAGCTCTTTCCGGGATTGCCATAGGATCCTCCTTCACTAATGTCACTGGCTTCAGCTTTATTGTAATGTTTCTCTTCTTTCCTCCCTCATTGTCCTTGTGCTTAATTTTCACTTTCAAAACTAAAATTTGCACTCATAATCATCTAACCAGCTTGGAATTTTGGATGGACATATAGTTGAAAATGGTGTACACACTACTTATTTGTTGTAGAGTATAAATATATATATCTATATAGCATAACTAAAGATCATATATTTGGTTATTAGAAAGGGAATTCTATATGGTTCATCACCCAAATATAGAATCAATCTTTGTTTTCAATTAGTGAAATTAATGTTAAATGAACTTCTGGGAGAAAACAAAGTTAAATCCTCATCCAATTTAGCTTAATTTCTTAGAATATAAAACTCTTTACTTTCACATGGACTTTGGATAAATTCAAAAAAGTACCAGACACATGACATGTACCAGATAATTTACAATTAATAATTGGCTACTTAATTGGTTTTTAGCTTCATTTGTTTTAAAGTTATAATAATATATATTTAAGAAAAGAGAATTGCAATTAATGCATTGATTCTCTTTTTAATGTATTAAATGCAATTTTTAAATAAGTAATATATTAATTTCTTTGATTAATGTCTATAAACACAAGTTAATTGACCCTACAATATATAATTCATAAGCTTAATTTCTATATTCCTTTCTCCCCAACCAACTTATTGAGGTAGCATCAGATTAGCAATTTGTCTAACTGTATTTAATTAGTGTAACAGATTGTCAAATAAAAAAAATAAATTGTATTCAACGTATCAGGCTTGAGTCATAAGTTCATACCAAATTTAAGAATATCCCTGACCCTCTTATAAAAATAATATTAATGAGAATTGATTTTTAAAACGAAAAACATGGCTTAGCTGGCAATCTTACCCAAAAGATCTTTCCGGGATCTTCTAGGATTAGGTGAACTCTTTTGTCAAAAGCTCAACCGGAAATTTTATGTGAAATTGATATTTTATCGGAACATCCTGTGATTTAGATGGACAAAAGTTGATTTACTGCTTCCATCCCTACTTCTCTCTCCATTAGCTTTCATGCATATTCGAAAAAGAGTTCAAAATTTTAACGATATTTAATGAAGTCTACTTTTTTCTTGTAAAAAAGGCATATGAAAAGAGACAGCTTGATTTCCTAAAAGAATAATATATATATATACACACACAGAGAACAGAGAGAAAGAGAAACATTGTCTCACTTTACCATTAGTTGTCATTTTGTGAATTATTGCCATTACTCAGCCATGTGGAGTGTGGACCACAAACTTTATTTGCTTTTAACGCAATAAGTTTGGTACACTTTATTCATCCCTTTTTATTTTTTATTTTTTAAATGAAACGTGACAATTATAACTTAATTAAGGGTAAAACAGTTTGGTTTGCATTCTTCATAGCTAGATGTTCATCACTTTTCTTGATTAATCCTCATCCTTGTTTGGTAAACTTTGAAGACCAACTCCAAAATTAAAAAAAAAAATAAAAAATTTAAACAAATGAAAATTGAAGTATCAATACTAAAACTGTCAAATCCATTGTTTCTAATTATATTTTAAACAACTTGTATCAAAAAATTCATCCGACGTTTTTAGAATTCGAACATGAAATTTTTAATTCTAATTATTAAAGCCTTCGTCTCTTGAGTACTTGAAGATATTTTATTCAATTTTGGTCTTACGGGCTTTGGATGTTTGGATAAGATATAATATTTTTTATTTTTATTTTTTAATTTTTATATTATATTTATTTTTTTATCTATACTTAATAAATATTTTAAATTTATTATAATTCTTATCTCATGTGTATTTAATAAATATGAGTAATTTTTATACTCATAACTTAAAAAAAAAATTACTTTTTAATATTTTTATTTTTATCTTGTATATTTAGATAATTTTTTATTAACATATACTTTTTTAATAAAATATATTAATTTTAATTAATTTAAAATAATAATTTATATTATTTAATAAAAAAATTTATTTATTAAATATATAAAAAATATAAGAATGTAAATATAAAACATATACTATATTATCTATTCTCATCTCCATATTCAATAAAAATTTAAAATCATACATCTTCATCCATATTCCCGTAATATAATACATGTTCACATCTACGTTTGAATAAAAAATTGAATTTCCTCTTACATGCGAGTGAAATTGACTTTATTAACCTTTACACCACTTTGGGTTAAAGTGTTTTATTATGGAAAAAAAGCTGCATGTGATAATTTTGCTAAATGGACATTAATTTATATGGAGGCCCAACAATTTTATTCCATGGTTCCAGCCCATGGAATATGCGACACAATATTCAAACGCCCAATCTTTATCTCATATTTGTTAGAAGTTTTTTTTGGCATATATATATATATATATTTCTTACATTTAATGAGTCTTTTATTTATTTATTGTTTTTTAATATATACTAATGAAATATGTTACAATCTTCTAATCCCATGGTGAAATTTTTGAAATCCACGGACAATGTATTTGATATTTTATATTTATATATAATTTTAACGATATAGCATTTAAAAACATGAAATGAACTTTTTTTGCTTGATTTTCAGAATGTTTCATTGTTCATAGAAGTCTTGATTCTCAATATCTGAATTTGAAATTAGTGACATTTATTTTTATTATGTTCCAAATTAATAGTTTGGAATGGCTGGTGCATTGGAAACTCTATGCGGACAAGCTTATGGAGCACAACAATATCAAAAGTTTGGAACTTACACTTACTGTTCCATAATTTGTCTCATTCCTGTTTGTATTCCAATATGCTTTCTGTGGATATTCATGGACAAGCTGTTAGTATTGATGGGGCAGGACCCTGAAATTGCAATGGTAGCTGGCAGATATGCAATCTGGCTCATTCCTGCATTGTTTGCCTACCCATTTCTTCAGTCATTAATTCGCTATTTCCAGTGTCAGGGCTTGACTCTTCCATTGTTCTTGAGCTCTTCTGCAGCTCTCTGTCTCCATATACCTCTCTGTTGGACTCTACTATACAAAACAAAATTAGGAATTATCGGGGCGGCTTTATCAATCGGATTATCTCTCTGGTTTAATGTCATATTGCTTGGGACTTACATGAGCTACTCTTCATTATGTGAGAAATCTCGTGCTCTCATCTTCAATCACATTTTCTTAATCATCAAGGAGTTCTTTAGCTATGGACTCCCTTCTGCTGTAATGGTTTGGTAATGTACAACCTTTTCTTTGGGGGTACTTTTTCAGCTTTCTTGGGTTTAGATTTGTTTCCAGTTTCTAACAATACTCTCTTCTATTCTGTTAATTCTAGTCTTGAATGGTGGTCATTCGAGCTACTTATACTGCTATCAGGACTTTTACCTAATTCAATGCTTGAAACATCAGTTCTGTCAGTATGGTAAGCTTCTAAACGAGAAATTTTGTGTTTCGAAACTTCAATCTTCAGTTCAGCTTTTTTTTTTTTTTTTAGTACAAGTTTCTCAAACAAGAATGCTACTAATGTCTCTTGACTTTTGCGATGGGAAGCCTTACAATCACTTCATTACACTTCTTCGTACCATACGGGATTAGCGCTGCTGCAAGGTTAAATCCTTAATTTTTTTTCTTGTACAAAAATTCTGCTTATATTTTAGCAGTAAACATATGTTTCTACTCTAAATTGTGTGGTTTTTATGAGTATAATTGATTATATGCCTATGCTACTTTGCAGCACCCGAGTTTCAAACGAATTAGGAGCGGGAAATCCACAAGCAGCTCAACTATCTGTAATTGTTGCAATGGTAATTGCAGCTATAGAGCCACTCGTAGTGGCAATTGTCCTCTTTTGCTGCCGCTACGATTTCGGATACTTGTTTAGCAATGAAAAGGAAATTGTCAATTATGTTGCAGAAATGATTCCACTACTTTGCATTTCGGTTTTAATGGATAGCTTACAAGCAGTACTTTCTGGTAAGTTCCCTGCTTTGACAGCAACTATTATATGCAAGTTCTAACACGTTCCCTTGTGTACAAGTCGGATGGATAGGATACTAGGTGAAGAAATATAAAAAAACAGAGAAGGATTTTTTGGGACTCGAACTGATACAACCAATTACCCCAAAAGTATAAATTGATAGAAAATAAGTCAACTATTTAATTAAGTTGTAAAATAATTCTTGCTTTGTGTGTTAATTAGGTGTGTCCAGAGGAACTGGGTGGCAGCACATCGGAGCCTATGTGAATCTTGGGGCATATTACCTTGTAGGAGTTCCAGTAGCAGCCGTGTTGTGTTTTGGTCTAAATTTGAGAGGGAAGGGGCTTTGGATGGGAATATTGGCAGGGTCTACTGTTCAAGCATCGCTCCTTGCTCTCGTTACTGGCATCACAAATTGGCAAAAACAGGTTTCATTATAAATTCTCTCCTTTATGCATAGGCATATATAGCAGCTTATTTCTTCTGCCAAAGCATACATAAAACAAAAAAAAGAAAAACCTTTTATTGAAAATTGCAGGCAAGGAATGCGAGGGAAAGAATATTAGAGGGGTCAATCACAGCAAAGAATGAGTCAGCTTGAACAAGTCCAAGAAAAAGGAAGGAAAAGACCATGAGTATCTATGTTTCCTTCAATTGATTTTTAATCGACCATTTCTTGTATAAGTTTGGTGTAGAAGTGATGTGCAACCCAGAATTCTAGAATTATTTCTGTTGGGTTTTGAGTTTGAGTTTCAACGTTAAAAGAGAAATAAAGATTGCCAACAAAATGTTGTTTTGAATGATATGATGGATTCCCTGAAGTCATTTCCGGGCTCAAGAGTCTAATCCCAAATTCTATGTGTTTGCTCCAACTTGATATTTGATTGTCTTCAAGTAAATGTTGGTTTGTTGTTTTTTTCCTCAGTATAAATTTATTTGATTTATTATATATGTACCTGCTTTTTTTTTTAAAGCTGACTCTAAAATATTTCGACCCTAAAATTTGTCCATGAAATAAAATATCCTTTGACAAACAAAATAAATAATTCTTTCTGTAGACCGTTGAGTTTGTTTGTTGTTAACATTTTGATTTTATGATAGATTAGCAAAATGGTAGACTCTAAATTAGTTTGAAGCAGAGAATATTGTGTGACTCTAAATTCTTTTTACTAACGAATCATGGGATCTTGACCATCGCAAAACTACAGTTTAATATTACTATAATATTAAGTAGTGTCTTTATCATGCTTCGTTTTGCCATTTTGGTTTCAAGGAGCTTAATTAGTGGACAAGAAAATTTTGAATTAGATAATAACATGATCATGATTTTTAACCCAAAATTTTTATTCAAGTCCTGCAGATCACATCTTATTCAGCAAATTAAGATTAATTAAAAAGTTCAACTGGAAACTTTATGTCCAAATAATATAAAATAGCCTCATAATAAAACCAAAAACACAATTACCAAATAAATTTCGAATGGGAAAATGAAAAGAAAATTCATTTCTATATACAACAAGTCAAATTCATATATATATAAATTTGTTTATACATAACTACTACAATTGCAATTGAAAAAGTTACATATCTTCCTCGATAGATCAAAGGAAAAAGGAAGGAGAAGAAGAGAAAGCTACATAACCTTCATTTGCTTCATAGAGAGACAGGAAGTTTCCTTGAGCCGCAGCTTTGCTTGTTTAGTGCTGGAATATAAACTCCAAAGGCTATTATTAATTTATAACATCGTAGTAACTAGTATGGTGGAGGAGGGCGATTCCAAGGCGGAGGTGGTCTATATGGATCAAAATATGGCGGCGGAGGAGGTCCAGGTGGTCCTGGCAGTGGTAAGAAAGCATGAGGTGGCGATGGTGGTGGACCTGGTGGAGGGTGGTGATGTGGGGGTGGAGGAGGAGGTGCAGCATAGTATTCAGAACGTGGTGGTGGTGGCGGTGGTGGTGCACCATAAAAGTTTGGTGGTGGTGGTGGCGGTGCACCATGAAAGTTAGGTGGTGGTGGCGGCGGTGCACCATACAAGTTCGGTGGTGGTGGTGCAAAAGGGTCTGGTGGTGGTGGGGAGGGTGGGTGCCTATGGAACGCCATTGTTGTGGTAGAAGAAACTGTTTATCTTTTAATTATTCACTAGATTGATAGTGGCTTATGTAGATGGAAAGAAATTGAGGGAATTGAAAACGAAATAGATGGCCAGATGTTATCGATTGATTTGAGACGGTTAGATATTTTTTTTTGGCCAATATTTGAGACTGTTAGTTGGATGACTGGTAGACGAGGAACGTGCATATACAAAGAATTCAAATCGATAGTATATAGGATACATCACTAAGAAAATGACGCATTAGCGATAATTTTATAATGATTTTTCATTTACAAATATCATTAATTTTTGTGTTTTTATAAAATTTAATGTGTTTATTATCAAAATATCATTAAATATTTAAATAATAATATTTTATTTATAAATGTCACATAAAATTTAATATCAACGATATTTCTTGATTAAAATGTCTTAAATAATTTTGTTTTAAAAATTTTAGTGAATATTAAAGGTATATTTTTAGCAGATAATACTTTCAATAATTATCTAATAAAAAATTATATGAGATTATTAAAGATGTTTTTTACAAGAAATGCTTTTAATAATTGAACAAAAAAATTTCATAGGCTTATTGAAGTTGTTTTTGTTTAAAAATGCATTCAATAAATATCATATTAAAATGTTTAGATTGTACGGATATTAACCATTAGGCTATATTTTTGATCCCTCATTTTAGCCTTTTTGGAGTTTTTGCAGAGATTATTTGTAATTGATTATTCTAAGTATTTTTTTGACAAAAATGCCATCACCAATTGCTTTAAAAAATTTTACAAAGAATATTGAAGGCGTTTTTTTGTAGAGAAACGTCCTTAATAATCTATAAGAAAAATATGGAGCCAATTCTTGAAGGTGTTTTTGGCAAAACTCGCCTTCTATAATTCAATCAATAAATTTTTGTTGTGATTATTAAAGATAATTTTTTGTAAAAAATACCATCAATAATCTATAGACAAAAGTTTAAATGGATATTTTAAGGTATTTTTAGCTCAAAACACCTTTAATATTCTAGATGATAAATTTTAATGGTCGGATTATTGAAGGTGGTTATATCCCAAAACGCTTTCAATAACATTTTGTTAGGGATTATTCAATGTGTTACCCGTAAGAAAACACCTTTCATAATCCATTCGATTAATTTTTAGTTGGTATTATTGAAGGCGTTTTAAAAAAACACCTTCAATAATTTATACAAAAAAGATGAGACGAATTCTTGAAGGTATTTTTTACCCAAAACACCTTTAATGTTTCACACAATAAATTTTTGAGGGATTATTGAAGGTGGTTTTGGTAAAAAATACCTTTAATATTCTAGACGATAAATTTTAATGATCGGTTTATTGAAGGCGGTTATATCCAAAAACGCCTTTAATAACATTTTGTTAAGAATTATTTAAGGCGTTATTCGTAGGAAAACGCCTTTCATAATCCATTCGATTAATATTTAATTGATATTATTGAAGTCATTTTTTTAAAAAATACATTCAATAATCCATACAAAAAAGACGCGATTGATTCTTGAAAGCGTTTTTTTGCCCAAAACGCCTTTAATATTCCATACAATAAATTTTTGGGGTGATTATTGAAGGCAGTTTTGGTTAAAAACGTCTTTAAAATTTTTTGTTAGGGATGATTCAAGGTATTTTTTTGCTAAAAACGCATTCATTAATCCCATAAAAAAATATTTGATATTATATATGTCAAGTTAGTTGTAGGTTTATGCTTAGAAAACGTTTGTTGTCAGTTGTATATTATTGCCCAAAAAATATTTGGTTTATATATGTGATACTACGAATTACATTTTAGAATTTACATAATAAACATTGTTGTATTTCAATAAATTGACCACACATCTGAAATTAAAACTGATAACATTGTCATATTAATATATTTTTCTGAAATAATCGTACTTAATAATTTATTAAGTACACATAGTGTATTCATATTAAGTATAACAATAATATTAAACCAATACCGCAATGTACAAACTTAAAGTTTCCATTCAACATGACATGTTCAAAACATTATAACAATTTGTTCCTTATATATTTACATTCAACCAACAATGTCTAACTTGAAGGTTTATCAACACTGATAAATGATAATACATAATCAAACTACTTTTTACGGACTTCATCCAATTCCTCTTCCGTGAATCTTTCTTTACTCTCCCATTAAAAAAAAAATCAGAAGTAAATGCTAAAAAATGAGAACATAATGTACCTTTTTATTTTTTTGAAGATATAACAAGTTTATGAAATTTATACTAACCTTGAATGGTATGGTCATAAAATCATGTAGCACTATCTTCTGCATAAAACGAAAGATATAATATCCACATGTAGTATTACTGGGTTGACAAAGTGCCTGAAAATTAAATTGAGTAGGTTTAAAAAATATTTATCTACACAAACTCAGCATAAAAGAATATATTTCATATTTACCGGTAATGACACCCATTTCGATTTCTTTATCTTCTTATCGAATGTAGATATTACCTTAAATTGAAAAAAAATTACTTAATACATAAGTAAAATTACTTATGAAGAAACAAAAGATATATAATATAATAAAGTGTAATACCTCTTTATAAAAGTTTGAATATCGGGGTTAGGCATCGCTGTTAGATTAACTGAATTAAGTAAGTATGACGTTAAGGATTTGGTGTCAATCACAATAAGTACCCAATAACGACTGCAAAATAATAACAATGATATACTCAGATTACGCATTAGATCAAATTTGGGTAAGGTTCGAGTAATTAAGGTTGAAATATAACTATGCATTATACGAGAGCAAATAATAATCAACTGATCTTTTCATACATAGGATCACATGATTAGCACGATAAGCGACTGTGCCACTCTGCTCACTAATGAAGTTGGGGTCAATGAATCTAAATATGTTGATCAACTGTCTCCCTTTGAGCTCTTTATATAAGAAGTTACACGATAATAATCAACCTGCTAGTTAGTATTACACCCTAATATAGATTATTACATATTGAATGTGCATATTTGTATTTATAAGCTAACCTCATATAAGCAACGATATCAACTGCTAATAATTCATTCAGTTCACAAAATTCTTTAACCTCCATCATGCCAATGAAAGAAAATGATGGTTTATCAAATAACTCATCATCAGACTCAATGGTTATGAAGTTTCCTCTTGATAAATGCTCCAACAAATATTTGGATAACTTATTCATGGAAGCTTGAGCAAAGGTCATACTGCGAACATCCTACTACAATATTTAATGAAATATAAGTATTAAAACCAAATCAATCAATATAATAAACAAATTAATATTAAAATTATAAATAATATCATACTTTTTGGGTGGTAGCAGAGGATAAGTTCACTTCCTTACTTGCAACAGAAGCTTTTCCTACGGGGATGATGCTGTCAGACCGGTGTACTAGCATGTTATGCTGTATTGCTACCAACATGGACTCTAAAACAGCTAGTCATTGAGGCTTTGCTCCTGATTATCAATTCGTTGCTGTTATTGCTCAATGATTGCTTCATATTGTGTATTTTTCATTCGCGAAGTTTTTTGTTGACTACTAAAAAACTTTGATGGCAAGATAAATTTATCAACCCACGAACCTGACCAGGTCTTTCTTTAGCGTCTAATGCTTAAGACAAATGATCTTCACCATACTGGGTTGCCAGTTCACCAGATTTGACTTTGACAACATAATTATCTTAAAAGATAATAATAAGATGGGCTGTAAGAATAAATCTATACAAGCTAGTATACACTTATACATACAACCACAATGCCAGTCATACATTATAATAAAAAATAGTTATACATATAATTTTTTTTGTCATTTTCTCGGTTGCTTATCTGTAAAGAATCTATCCTTTCATAGATGTCCTTATTTTCAGACATCCCATATGAAAAGTTTTGTACCAGAGCTCGCTAATT